AAGCAATCTTGAAAAAGAAAACCAAAGCAGGAGGCATCACAATCCCAGACTTCAAGCTATATTACAAAGCTGTCATCATCAAGACAGTATTGTGCTAGCACAAAAACAGACATTCAGATCAATGGAACAGAATAGAGGACCCAGAAATGGACTCACAAACATACGGCCAACTAATCTTTGACAAAGCAGGACAGAATATCCAATGAAATAAAGACAGTCTCTTCAGCAAGTGGTGCTGGGAAAAGTGGACAGCGACATGCAAAAGAAGAAATCTGGACCACTTTCTTATACCATCCACAAAAATAAAGTCAAAATGGATGAAAGACCTAAATGTAAGGAAGCCATCAAAATCCTTGAGGAGAAAGCAGGCAAAAACCTCTTTGACACTGGCCGCAGCAACTTCTTACTCCAGAGGCAAGGAAAACAAAAGCAAAAATGAACTATTGGGACCTCATCAAAATAAAAACCTTCTGCACATCAAAGGAGACAATCAGCAAAACTAAAAGACAACCGACAGAATGGGAGAAGATACTTGCAAATGACATATCGATAAAGGGTTAGTATCCAAAATCTATAAAGAATTTATCAATCTCAACACACAAAAAACAAATAATCCAGGGGCGCCTGGGTGGCTTAGTCAGTTAAGCGTCCGATTTTCGCTTAGGTCATGATCTCGCAGTTCGTGGGTTCGAGCCCCACGTCGGGCTCTGTGCTGACTGCCAGCTCAGAGCCTGGAGCCTGTTTCAGTCTGTGACTCCCTCTCTCTCTGACCCTCCCCTGCTCACGCTGTCTCTCTCTCTCTCCTAGAAATAAATTTTAAAAAAATAATAATAATCCAGTGAAGAAATGGGAAAAAGACATAAATAGACACTTTTCCAAAGAAGACATCCAGATGGTTAACAGACACATGAAAAAAAAGTTCATCACTCATCATCAGGGACATATAAATCAAAACCACAATGAGATACCACCTCACACCCATCAGGATGGCTAACATTAACAACTCAAGCAACATCAGATGTTGCTGAGGATGCAGAGAAAGAGGATCTCTTTTGCACTGTTGATGGGAATGCAAACTGGTGCAACCACTCTGGAAAACCATATTAAGGCTCCTCAAAAAATTTAAAAAAAGAACCACCCTACAACCCAGCAATTGCACTGCTAAGTATTTATCCAAGGGATACAGGTGTGCTGTTTCAAAAGGGGCACATGCACCCCAATGTTTATGGCAGCACTATCAACAATAGCCAAAGTATGGAAAGAGCCAAAATGTCCATCAACAGATTAATGGATAAAGATGTGGTATGGTATATATATACAATGGAGTATTACTTGGTAATCAAAAAGAATGAAATCTTGCAATTTGCAACTACGTAGATGGAACTAGAGTGTATTTTACTAAGTGAAATTAGTCAGTCAGAGAAGACAAAGATCATACGACTTCACTCACATGAAGGCTTTAAGATACAAAACAGATAAACATAAGGGAAGGGAAGCAGAAATAATATAAAAGCAGGGAGAGGGACAAAAACATAAGAGACTCTTAAATACAGAGAACACACAGAGGGTTACTGGAGGGGTTGTGGGAGGGGGGATGGGCTAAATGTGTAAGGGACATTAAGGAATCTACTCTTGAAATAATTATTACACTATATGCTAACTTGGATGTAAATTTTAAAAATAAATTAAATTTTAAAAAATAAAATAAAGAAAACTGATGCAGCAATATGATGGATAACAGCTATTTTATGAAATCATGCTTACAAAGATTGGGGAAATTATCAAAATATCATTTTAAACAGGAAAGTGAAGTAAAAACTTACATATACAGTATTATTTCCACCTTGTTTACATATATTCTTCATATATATGAGATGTAAATTATATAAAACATATAAGTTCTTTAATATTATAAAAAAACTCTAAGAACAATAAAAATCACCCATAATTTTAGTGTATTGTAAGTAAATACAGCAAAATATTGTTTACCTCTTTTTTTTGTTTTGTTTTATTTTGTTTTGCTTTTCCATTTTTTTCAGTGAACTTTATCAGAAAAACAATACATTTTTTGTTTCTTTTTAACATGAGAGAATTCAGTAGGTGGCTAAAATAGGGATTTTAATGAAGTATATATTTTGTGTTCCCAGATACCTTCTATGGGTGTGCTAAATAAAATCATGTACAAATCTATTCTGAGTAACTCCCCTCCCCACCATCTACCCCACAAAGAAGAAAAGAAGAACATTTTTAAAGTTTCAGATTTGGGGTGCCTCAGGTGGCTCAGTCGATTAAGCATCAGGCTCTTGTTTTCGACTCAGGTCATGATGTCACAGTTTGTGAGAAGGAGCCCAGCATCCAGCTCTATGCTGACAGAATGGAGCCTGCTTGAGATTCTCTCTCCCTCTCTCTCTGCCCTCCCTCTCTCTCTCTCTCTCTCACTCAAAATGAAATGAAAGAATGAATGAATGAATGAAGTATCAGAGGTAAAATCAATGCAGTTTCTCACTCAAGTAACCTTTGAGTGCTTTATAGCCTTGGAAAAAGGGATGATTTAACAATCCAACTTAAAATTACACCAAAAAAGAAAAAAAGATTTAGGAATAAACTTAAGGAGGTGAAAGAAAGAAAACTCCAAAAATTATAAAACACTGATGAAATTCAAGATGACCCAAACGAGTGAAAAGATATTCCATGGATAGATGGATTAGATGATTCAATATTCTTAAAATGGCAATACTACATAAAATAATCTATAGATTTAATGAAATCCCTATCAAAACCCAACAACATATTTCACAGAAGTAGAATAATCTTAAATTTTGTATAGAACCAAAAAAGACCCCAAAGCCCAAGAAACCTTGAAAAAGAACAAAACTAGAGGTATTACAATCCCAGATTTCAAGATACGCTACAAACCTGCAGCAATCACAACAGTTTGGTACTGGCACAAAAACACCTAGATCAATTGAACAGAGTAGAATCCAGTGATAAACCCACACTTATTAATGGTCAACAAGGGGGAAAGACAATCTCATCAACAAATGGTGCTGAGAAAAGTGGACAGCTACATGCAAAAGAATGAAAGTGGATTGCTTTTTTATACCACACACAAAAATACTCTCAAAATGGATTAAAGGCCTAAATGTGAAACCTGAAACCTTAAAATTCCTAGAAAAAAATACAGGTGGTAACAAATTATATATCCAATAAAGGATTACTATCTAAAATGTATAAAGAAGGGTGTCTAGATAGCTCAGTTGGTTAAGTGCCCAACTCTTGCTGTAAGATCAGGTCATGATCCCACAGTTTGTGAGACTGAGCCTTGTGCTGGGCTCTGCACTGACAGCGTGGAGCCTGCTTGTGATTCTCTCTCTCCCTCTCCTTTTGCCCCTCTCCTGCTCATGCAGATGCATACCCCCCAAAAAACAAACATTTAAAATATATAAACATTTAAAATATATAAAAAACTTCTATAATACAACACCAAAAAAAAAAAAAAGAAAAACAATAATCCACTTATAATGTGAGTGGAGAACCTGAAAAGACATCAGAATGGCTAAAATCAAAAACACATAAAATGATAAGTATTGGCAAGAATGTAAAGAAAAAGGAACCCTCATGCACTGTTGGTGGGAATGCAAACTGCAGCAACCAGTGTGGAAAACAGTATGGAGGCTCTTCAAAACATTAAAAATAGGATCATCATATGATATAGTAATTCTACCATTGGATATTTACACAAAAAAATGTAAGAACAGTAATTCAAAATTATATATATGCACTCCTATGTTTATTGCAACATTATATGCAATAGCCAAACTATGGAAACAGCCCAAGTGTCCATCGATGAATGAATGGATAAAGATGTAGTGTATATATACACTGGAATATTACCCAGTCATTTAAGAAAAGAATGAAAAATTGCCATTTGCAACAACATGAATGGACCTAGAGGGCATAATGTTAAGTGACGTATGTCAGTCAAAGAAAGAAAATACCATATTATTTCATGTATATGTGAAATTTAAGAAACAAATGAACAACAAAAAAAGACAGACAAACCAAAAAAAACGAAAAACAAAAACCAGGCACTTGAAGTCAGAGAACTGGTGTTTACCAGAGGGGACATGGAGAAATGGGTGAAATAGATAAAGGAAATTAGGAGTACACTTATCATGATTATTACTGAGAAATGTATAGAACTGTTGAACCATATTGCACACCTGAAATTAATAAAACACTATATGTTAAATATACTTGAATAAAAAAGAAAAAGGGATAAGTTGTCTTAGAAGGTATAATGTATGATAAGCCCGCCGGGAAGTTCCCTCACAAATTTTGGGTTAAGGACAAAAAATTTAAATCTACAGCACTGTATAAGTTTTTTAAGCTCTGCTTTAAGAACTCCAATAAATAAAATCTGGACTTACATAATAAATAAGTCAGAGAATCATGAAGTATATTATGAAAGGATTATTGACTTCATGAAAGACTTTATCAAGAATTTCTTAAATAGCGGCTTTTCTCATACATTTTTGTATTTTTAAATTTAAAAAATTTTTAATTTAAAAAATAATTTCCTACTTGACAAATGAGCCACCATGTGCTTTGGGACAAGTCATTGAAATTCTCTAGGTTCAATTTCCTCATCTATGATAAGGATGGATTAACCATGCTGCCTGCTTCACACAGGTTTCATTACTATAAAACAAGAGTATTTATATAAAGGTACTTGAAAGCTGTATATACATATTTTTAAGGCTCTTGCTTTTAAAAGGGAATCTGGAGGGGGGAATCTTTTAGATTAGTATATATATATATATATATATATATATATATGCTAATATATACTTTTTTATATTTTAACAGCACTTTAAAGGACAATTTGAGATGACATATTCATTCTATGAAAATCAAATCTTTCCTCGGTTCATGATCTACTTTTCCCATGTTTTTAGGTCTTCTGCAGGTACGCATTGTTATTTCCATGGCCTTAATACCTGGATTATGAGAGGCTCCAGTAGCTTCTCTACAGTGAATGTTTGGACCTGCAGATCCTGAGGATCAATATTCAGTGTGATTGGTGTTTCAGCTGACATGCTGCCTGTTCACAAAAAAAAAAAAAGATACTTATTAATAAAGAAAAATACTTTCTAAAGGGAAGCACTAATGAAAATCATAGAGTACATGAGATCTGTATTCAGCACCTCTTCTCAATATCAGCCATAGTTCTCAGACCACCAGGGCGCCAAGTCCACCAACAGAGAAATGAGATATTCCCCATCTGTTCTCGGAGGTCATGCTATCTAGGCTTAGATCTTCCAATAAATTAATCAATGTTAGTATGTTCATGACTGAAATAATAACCCAGGGTGAGTTTGCATTTGATCAAGAGTCTAAATTAAAAAAGAATGGCCAAACTGAGACATATCTTACAGCATGCAAGTCCTTTGACTTCCATGAAGTCATAGCACTGAGGCAGGCAGCACTCATATTTTGCTTGTTCTTGTTAATGATGACTCAGATGAGGAGGCAAGTAGGACTTTGGAAGACATACGATACATCTCTATCTGGGGAACTGTTTAAAGGCTTTGATTAGAGAAGAAAGTTGGACACAATTTACTTTCCTGTACAGAAAATAAGTAATTTAAATTGGCATAGTTATTATATAAAGAGAGAAGGGCAAAACTTGGGCAAAACAAAATAAGAAAACAATGGCAAGCCATCTTTAAGGCATTAACATTAATCTTAAGAATCAGTGAGATTTTTGCATAATAACACACATGTATCTCAAAAGACCATATATGGCACTTATAATAACATATTCAAACTAACAAATTGGCCATAAAGACTATTACCCAAATCACTAAGTCCACAAATTGGTATTAACTTATTCACAGTCAAGTGTTTACTGAAGGTCCACAGAATTAAGCAGTAAGAAACATGTATCACCTGTATGTAACTTAGTCCGTTAAAAAAAATTATAGTCCACATAAACATGTGTTACTATCAAAAACCTTCCCACTTAGCTATTACCCATTTTCCTCTATAGTTTCCTTTATTTGCAGGCTAAGAGAATATAGGATTCTGCCCCCAGAAAATATCCAGATATTCCCTATGGCACCCCTGGAAACTAAAACAAGAATAATTAGGAAGTACAATAGTAGTCACCCCTTATCTACAGTTTTACTTTTTGTGGCTTCAGTTATCCACAGTCAATCATGGTCCAGTCCAAAAGCAGACGATCCTCTTTCTGACATATCATCAGAAAGTGAATAGAAGTCTAATGGCTACATCACAATGCCTAGGTCATTCAACTCACTTCATCTCATCATATAGGCTAATTTTACCATCTCCCAAAAAGATGAAGACTGAGCACAATTAGATATTTCAAGGAAAGGAGAGAGACCACATAACTTTTATTATAGTATATTCTTATAATTGTTATATTTTATTATTATTGTTATTAATCTCTTACTGTGCCTAATTTATAAGTTAAACTTCATCTCAAATACACATATATAGTAAAAAGCATAGTATATATAGGTTTTGGTACTATCTGGGATTTCAGGCATCTACTGGGGGTCTTGGAACATATTCCCCATGAATAAAAGAGGACTGCTTATACATTTAGTTTAGTTTATTATTTTAGATATAAGGGTAGATAATTGTTTTCTTTTTAATTGACAAATGAACTCTATGAATGGACAATGGAAGTACAGATAACTAAAGGAAGGAAAGAAAGAAGAAGGGAAGAAGGATAGAGGGAGGGAGGGAGAAAAGGAGAGAGGCAGATAAGGAGGAATGGATGGAGGAAGGAAAGAAAGGAAGGCGAGTGGGAGGAAGGAAGGTATGAGTACATATTTTCATGGTGTCTCTCTTATCCAGAATCAATCCCTTCTATACCCTTGCCTCTAACCCCTAAGCAGATACTAGAATCTCAGGGAAGGGTCCATGTTCCCCCCAAATACTTCCCCTGAGAGTCTATTTCCATTCTCCTCCTACACTTTTTCAACTCCCATTGGACTATCTCCATAAAATCAGCATCTCTTTGCTCATCAACCTCTCCCATTCTAGTGGATCCTTCCTCTAGATCCATAAATGTGTTATTGTAGGGGCAACCTGGGTGGCTCAGGTGATTAAGCATCCAACTTCAGCTCAGGTCATGAATTCACAGTTTGTGGGTTTGAGCCCCATGTCAGGCTCTGTGCTGACAGCTCAGAGCCTGGAGCCTGCTTCAGATTCTGTGTCATACTCCCTCTCTCTCTGCCATCTCCTCCCATCTCCTCTCGTGCTCTATATCTCTCAAAAATAAATAAACATTAAAAAATAAATTATTGTATTTATTCCAAAGATAATCATGTTCTCCATGTGTATATGTAGATGAAAAGATCAGTGCTTATCAACAATAGCCAAACTATGGAGAGAACCCAAATGCTTATCATTCATGAATGGTAAAGAAGAGGTAGTATGTATGTGTGTGTATGTGTGTGTGTGTATGTGTGTATACATATATATATATACACACACGTTTCTTATGGATAATTTCTGTGGACCTTCAATAAACTATGAATAAGTTAATATCAATTTGTGGGCTCAGTGATTTAAGTACTACTTTTTATGCATTTGTTAATTTGAATATGTTATGATATATGCCTTTATATATATATACATATATATAATTTCATCATATATATACATATATAATGGAATATTATTCAGCTGTCAAAAAGAATGAAATCTTGCCATTTGCAATGACATGGATGAAGCTAGAATGTATTATGCTAAGTGAAGTAAGTTAAAGAAAGATAAATACCATATGATTCCACTCATATGTGGAATTTAAGAAACAAAACAGATGAACATATGGGAAGGGGGAGGGGAAAAGAGGAGAGGGAAACAAACCTTAAGAGGCTCTTAACAACAATGAACAAACTGAGGGTCGATGGAGGAAGGTAGGTAGGAGATGGCTAGGTGGGTGATGGGTATTAAGAAGGCTACTTGTGATGAGCATTGGGTGTTGTGGGTGGGTATTGTGATGAGCATTGGGTAAATGTAGGTATATGTGGGTGGGTGTTGTGGGTATTGTGGTGAGCACTGGTGTGTGTGTGTGATGAATCACTGAAATCTACTCCTGAAACCAATATTGCACTGTATGTTAATTAAAATTTAAATTTAAAAAAAAACAGTGCTTTACCAAGGCCTTTCCACACTGTACACCTGATACACATGCAGAGAGACATACACATGAAACCATTCTGTAACTAAAAAATCATCCTCATTAACTCTTATCTTGATTAATTCTTAGATTAATAACATAATATTTTAATAGAGGCAAACACTATAAAAGCTAGAAAAATTACTGCACTTCAGAGGATAGGCTACATGATTACACTCCATGATTCTCTTGCTATAAAAATGGATATTTAAAGTATTCTTGAAAATAATACCAAAGGTTGACCCCAGTATTTTAACATAGAAATTTGTACATAGTCAAGATAATGAATTTCAACTATGCTTATAATCAAATATACTCCTAATACTTAAGTGTCTTGCATATGTCTTCAACAAAGTTTAATACTAAAAATAAAGATAATTATGCTGGAAGTCTCAAAGAAACCAATTATGACAAATCTAATAATTCCAAAAGCACTTAAGTATAAATTACATTATCCAACATTAACTATACTGGACTTAACGAGTGTTAAAAACACTAATACATACTAATCACTTTGCGTATAGTACTGAAACATTTTCTAGTCATAAGGAAATTATAAGCCACTTGAGGTGGAAAAACAATTTATTTTTTAAGTGTCCTACTCCTGTTTTCATGCAGCTATATAATACATTTAAATTTTTTTAATGTTTATTTTATTTTTGAGACAGAGAAAGAGAGCTTGAGTGGGAGAAGGGCAGAGAGAGAGGGAGACACAGAATCTGAAGCAGGCTCTAGGCTCTGAGATGTCAGCACAGAGCCCGACATGAGGCTTGAACTCATGGACCGCAAGATGGTGACCTGAGTTGAAGCTGGCCACCCAACTGACTGAGCCACCCAGTCGCCCCTATAAAACATTATTTATTCATCTACAAAAAACTATGGCTGGCTGTTGAAAAACACAGGTTTGAACTATGTAGGTTCACTTATATGTGGATTTTTTCAGTACAGCACTATAAAAGTATTTTCTCTTCTTTATGATTTTCTTACTAACATCTTTTCTCTGGCTTACTTTACTGTAAGTACAGAGTATGTATATATATATATATATATATATACACATACATATACAAAATATGTGTTAATTGACTGTTTATATTATTGGTAAGACTTCTGGTCAACATTAATTAGGCTATTTAGGGACAAACTTATATGCTGAGGGTGCCTGGGTGGCTCAGTAGGTTAAGCATCCAACTTGGTTTTGGCTCAGGTCATGATCTCACGGTTTGTGAGTTCAAGCCCCACATTGGGCTCCATACTGACAGTGCAGAGCCTGTTTGGGATTACTTCTCTCCCTCTCTCTCTGCCCTTCCTGTACTCTCACTCCCTCTCACAAAATAAATAAATAAGCTTAAATTTAAAAAATACACGCATTTATAAAACAAAAAGTTATACACTGATATTCAGCTATGCAGGAACGTGGAGTGTCAGTGCTCTGAATCCTTGTATTGTTCAAGGGTCAACTGTACTACAAATGTTGGGATTTATATATTTATAAAAATTTTATGTAAAACCCATTTCTAGATAGTTCTCCTATTGAACACAACCCAAAAGCCTGCTCAGGGCCTCTTTGCCTCTTTCAGACTGTCATTGTGTATCTTGTTTTCAGTCTATCCTTAACTTTATGACAAGCCACTTATACAAAGTACCTACAATTCCTTTACTTTTTAAAAGACATTTTGCCTCGGCATGCCTGGGTGGCTTAATTGGTTAAGTGTCTGGCTTTGGCTCAGGTCATGGTCTCACCATTCCCGAGTTCGAGTGCCCCATCAAGCTTTGTGCTAACAGCTCAGAGCTTGGAGCTTGTTTTAGATTCTCTGTCTCTCTCTCTCTATGCTCCTCCCCTGCTCACACTGTCACTCTCTCTCTCTCTCACAAGTAAATAAATATTTAAAGAAAATTTTTAAGACATTTTGCCTTGAAAAAAATATTACATATTAAGTGAAAAAATATTGCCTGAATTTCTTTTCAAATGAATTTCACTTTCAAATGAAAGTGTAAATTACTGTTATTCTATGATATAAAAATATATAGGGACATCTGGATGGCTCAGTAGGTTGAGCATCTGACTCATGATTTCAGCTCAAGTCATGAACCCAGTGTTGTGGAATGGAGCCTTTCATCAGGCTCCATGCTAAGCATGGAACCTGCTTAAGATTCTCTAACCCTCTCCCTCTGCCCCTCTTCCCTGCCCATGCTCTCTCTCTCCCTCCCTCTCTAAAATAATACATACATTATATATATAACATATTTAAATATATATTTAATATTTATAATACATATTTGTAATACATATATATAAAGTAATCTGTAATATGCTTCAATGAGAGTATTCATTTAAAGTACAGCATATTACAGGGGCGCCTGGGTGGCTTAGTCGGTTAAGCGTCCGACTTTCCGACTTTCGCTTCGGTCATGATCTCGCAGTTCGTGGGTTCGAGCCCCGCGTCGGGCTCTGTGCTGACTGCCAGCTCGGAGCCTGGAGCCTGTTTCAGTCTGTGACTCCCTCTCTCTCTGACCCTCCCCTGCTCACGCTGTCTCTCTCTCCTAGAAATAAATAAAACATTTAAAAAAAAAAAAAGTACAGCATATTACAGATGAGAAGCTGGGTGAAATATGATGAGCACTAATATATAGAATTCCTGAATCACCATATTGTATATCTGAAACTAATATAACACTGTATGTTAACTATACTGGAATTAAAATTAAACACTTGATTAAAAAATCATGGGTTTAGGAGTGCCTGGGTGGCTCAGTCAGTTAAGCATCGGACTTCAGTCCAGGTCATGATCTTGAAGTTTATGAGTTCAAGCACCACATTGGGCTCTGTGCTGACAACTCAGAGCCTGGAGCCTGCTTCAGATTCTGTGTCTTCCTCTCACTCTGCCCCTCCCTCGCGTGTTCCGTCTCTCTCTCTCTCTCAAAAATAAATAAACATTCAAAAAAATTTCTTTAAATTGTGAGTTAAAAAAAAAACATATATGTAAAGATACAAAGCCCTACGATTTAGGCCTTTACTA